AAAGTCTATGGCGCGCGTCACCCTTTGCTCCCCATCTCCCAACGTGACGGGCAGGCATACCCGCCCAATCACTCTGGCAGGCGCCCCCGAAAAGCCTACTAGTACCGACTCCGATGGTCTGATCATCTCTGGGGATAGTTGCATGCGAACCACCGTATCCTTGAACAGCACATCCATGGAGCTTCCTGTATCTACCAACATTCTCCTTACCCTGCATCCGGCTACTACCCCTTGTATCTCCAAGGAGTCCATGGACGGGAGCATACACGCCTCCTCCGGCGCCTTGTTGAAGCTAATGTCGATCGACTCCTGCACATCTGCCGACGCCGCCCTCAACCGACGCTTCGCTTCTATTTTCTCCCTCAGATCCATTGTCCCTTAAATGGCTTCGATCGTCAGGCGCACGCGGTCAGGCGCCTTTTCTTGGTCCAAGTCATAGGGTGGTGGCGGCAGCTCCTCCCCTGTTCTCACTACTCCAGCCACACACGCCCTATGCACTCTTTCCTCGGGCTTTCTGATGAAGTCATTGAGCATTCCCCTGTCCGCAAGACCCTGTAGCTCTGTCTTAAGTTGGTAGCAATCAGCTGTGTAGTGCCCAATCTCACGGTGGAAGTCGCAGTATCGGTCCAAGTTCCGCTCGTTGGGTTGCCCCCGCATCGGGCCTGGCCACCTGATGTGGTATCCCTTGTCCTTGACGTGCTGGAGCACATTCTTCAGGGTGTCGTTATACTCGGCGAAGGGCCCAGCCCCTCTAGGCGCCTGGCGCCCCATATCGTTCCTCCTTGGCGGTGGCTGGCTCGTGGGCGCATAGCCCGAACCGCTCGTTGGGTACTGCCTCCTTGGTACCTCGACCTCCTCTACTCGTGCCTTCCTCCGATCTGCCCTCCTGGCCGCTAATGTCTCCTCCAGCACAATTACCTTTTGCACTCTATAATCCAGGTCTTCTGTGGACACCACATCTCTCTTCGCAAGCGCCCTGCACAACTCCTCACTGGAGGTGCACTCATTCAGACACACCCCCAGCACCGACGGCTAGTGTCCTTCACTGCTAAAGCCACAGATAGCCACCTCTCGTAAAATTCCCGTAACGCCTCTCCCTCTTTCTGCTTGACCTTAAACAAGGCGCCTATGGTCAAGGAGCGCCTTTTTCTGCTGGCAAACTTCGCCAAGAACATTGCTGCGAACTGTTCGAAGCAGTCGATGCGCCCTTCACCGATCTGATGATACCAATCAAGAACCACACCCGAAAAGGTGGACGGAAACACCTTGCACAGGGTGGCATCTGTGCTATTATAGAGTTGCATTTTGGTGAAATATCCGTTGAGGTGGTCCTCGGGGTCTCCAGTTCCGTCATAAGCTGGGAGTGGGGGAATGTTGGTTCCGGCTGGCTCCGATAATATGCAACGCGCCAGAGGCTGCCTCACAGGACAGTGGCGTGAAAGGCGCCCCAATATTCCTCCATTCCATCCACTATCGTCCGGCGCCCCATGATCACGTGGGCGCCATAGGCCGGGACGCCTCGGGCACCTCGATTCAATCTCCGTCTCTTCCGCCCTTTCTCTTTTCTTCGTCGGGCTGGGTGTCATCCCTTCACCCCTTCTTAAGGCGTCCACTTCACGCCGCAGCGCCTCGATCGCCTCATCTTGATTCTCAATGATCCGGAACAATTCTTTTTTCTTGACTGAGGCGCCTTCGGATCCCCGCAACGTGCCTTCACTTCCTTCACCTTCTTCCTCCTCGGGCGTCTGCCCTCTCATTCGCTCCGACTGTTCTTCCGTAATTTCTTCCCTTTCTTCGTTCATGGGCGCCTCTTCACTCATGGCTCCTGGCTATATTCCCCTACCTGGCGCGCCAATTGTTTGAGACTTGATACCCTTTGCCAGATTCCCCTGAATCCTCTTTCGCCAGGCGCCTATCTGCACACACTAACAAGGAGGGGGCGCCTTGGCCCGTTAATCCTCCGACGCCCAAGTTAGTTTCCAGGAAGAGAGTAGAGTCTCAAAGCTAGAGTTTGTGTGAGAGAATCCAACCTGTGCTACCAACTGCCTCTATTTATACTTACCTGAGTTCGAGGTTGATCCTCTCTGCCTCCCTGCCCTCATTCAATGCTTTTGTCTCTTTCTGACCAGACATCCTAACCACCTTGTCAGACTCCTGGCACGTGACAGGCGCCCGCAGGCGCTGGACCACATGACAGCTTGGCCTCCCTTGGCCTCTTGTGCCTTGTCTTCATGTGACATCCCCTTTACTTGGGCCTTGCCCCCCACTTGGGCTGTTTGGGAGCCCAAGTTTGCCTAGGCCTTGCCCCCCACTTGGGCTTTGCTCATTATACCCCCAACATATATATATTTATTAAAATTTTGGTTAATTTAACTATTAAACAATTTATTTGGTAATTTGTTGATTTTAAAAATAAAGAGAAATTTATGTGTTTTCAACTTTTTGGAGAAGAGAAAGAAGAGGGAAATTTGGTGCTTTGTATTTTTTAGAAATAAATAAGGGAAAAATTTGGTGGTTTTGATTTGTGGGAAGAGAAAAAAAAATAGAAAATTTGGTTCTTTTGATTATAAAAAGAGAAATTATGAGGGAAATTTTGTGTTTTCAACATTTTTAAGAAGGAAGGAAGAGAGAAATTTAGATTTTTCAATTATATGGAAAAGAAAAGGAGGGAAAATTGATTGTTTCTAATTTATGGAAGGAGAAAGAAGGAAATTTTTGTATTTTCTTTCTTCTTTTTTTTTTTTTTGAAAAGAAAGAAGAAAACAAATTTAGTGTTTTCAACTTCTTGGTTTTAAAAAAATTTAGCCTTTAAAATATGAATTTTTAGGTTTTATATCAAGGGCATGACTAATTAACTATATTATGCTCTTATATGGAATGACTATTTGACTATATTAGAATTAAAAATCTATAATAATTTATCTTATCTTCAATATATTATCACTCGAATTATCTCAAATGCATGTTATTTTACATTATAAATCATATACTTAATTACTTATAGATCATATGCTTAATCAAGTTTTTGGTTCTAAACTTAGACAAAACCATGTTTAGAGTATAACAAAGATCCCTCTATGTTCTAAAAATAAAAGTCTGAATTTCACTTATAAGTAAATATAGTAGCAAAATCATAACTCATAATAATATATGTTTAGCATATATGATATATGGTATATGGTTTAGGGTATAGCAAAGAACCCTTTTTAATTTATGTTTTGAAAATCAAAATCCGAATTTCACTTTAAATGAACTATAGTAGCAAATCATAACTTGTAAGACTATGCGGTTAGGGTATAAGGTAAGTGGTTAGATATAAGGTATATAGTTTAGGGTATAACAAATCTCCCTTTTAATCTATGTTTTGAAAATCAAAGTCTAAATTTCACTTTAAATTAACTATAACAACAAAATTGTAACTCATAATGATATATGGTTAGGGTATTAGGTAATATGGTTTAGGGTATATGATATATAGTTACGGTATATCAAATATCATTTTTAAACTATGTTCTGAAAATCAAAATATGATTTTTACTTTAAATTAACTATAGTAGCAAAATTAAATCATGACTCATAAGAATATATGGTTAAGGTATAAGGTATATGGTTTAGTGTATATGTTTGGCATGGTAAAGGAAACCGGATCGTACCGGCAGGTTGAACCGGTAAAACCAGAAACCGGCGCCTGGCCGATACGGTAGCTGGTTTATAGTGAAAGAGTCATTCCGGCCGGTTTTCCCGGTTAAACCGGTTCAATTCAGAAAACCAGGCGGTTTTGGTCTAACCGGGGTCAATGACCATTCTTACTTTCTGGAGCTCTTAGGGCATCTCCAGCATTGCTTTGACTTTCCATGTGTGTAATACTATAACTGTTTCTTCTTTCCAACATTATTGACACCAGATCCATATCGAAATCCCACCGGCGATTTTTGCGACCACTCACCATCACATTCCTTTTTATCGTTTTAGCCACTAGGCAGAGTTTCTAAGGATTCCTATACTGGCAAATTGACACACTTTTTCTTGCCTTTTCTTGATTTCTAAGCAATTTATATACGTACTTTGGTCAGAGACGTGGATAATATTGAGTTCTTTTACATGGTTCACGGCTCTAATGGTGAAATGGAATGCAGGCTTACATATGATGCTCTTAAGACTAGTGTCGTACGAGATTTCCCTTGGTCTTTTGGATGGTGATATTAACGTTGTATTGATGTGTGAGATAGTTTCTAATAAGAGGAGAGGACATTGCTAATCCTATTAAGGATTTTGATAATTGAGTGAATGCCTTCTAGTTTTTGTGGCATCTTAATTGCTCCAAAACTTGTAAGGAAAACAGAAGCTCTTCCCGAAACTTGTAAGGAAAACCTTCCCGAAGCTCTTAAGTCACTGATGTAGATGGTTTAAGAATGTTGTTTGGTTGTTTTGTACTCGATCGTAAACATGTATTTGAACGATTATGTAGTTAATTCATTAATGTTGCAGTTTGTTGAATTTTATATTAAATATGTTTATTTAGTTTATTCAGGTTTGTTATCCGTTATATTCCGGTTTTATTCCGGTATTATTCCGAAACGGTATCTCGAATCTGCCGATACGGTTTTTTAACAAAAAAATATTATTTAATTATAAAAACGGTATTTTGCCGGTACACAACGATTGAACCACGGTAGTACCGCAAAATACTCTACCACTGGCGGAGCCGGTATGACTTCCGGTACGGTTTCCTTTACCATGATGTTTAGGCTATAGCAAAGATCCATTTTTAATCTATGTTTTGAAAATCAAAGTCTGAATTTCACTTTCAATGAACTATAGTAGCAAATCATAACTCGTAAGACTATATGGTTAGGGTATAAGGTATATGGTTTAGGGTATATCAAATATCCCATTTTAATCTATGTTTTGAAAATCAAAGTCCGAATTTCACTTTAAATTAAAGACTAATACCACTATAACACCCGAACTATGACAAAAATGCCACTTGTGTCCTATTCTTTTCAATATTCCATTTATGTTATGAACTATGATACTTTGTACTATTTGTATCTGACGATTTAGTTGACTCTTAGAGATAATGGTTGACCAAACGGTGGTCAAATCAAAGTTGACTTTTGTTGACGTGGCAAAAATGTGGCTGCCACGTAATTGACACCTCATATTTTTTAATTCAAATTAAATTAGAATTGAATTAAAATTTAAAATTTTGTAAATTCAATTATATTAATAAGCCAAAATTAAAAAATAATTGATTTTAATGGATATTATAAAAATTAAAAAACTAAAATAATATTTCTTTCCTTCTTCTACGCCCAAAGCATTCATCATTCATCGCAAATCCAATCCCTAGCTTCCCCCATCCAAACTCAAGAGGGTCTTGATGTGATGGTGGCGATGTCGAGCTACGATGATAAAAACCGCCTAGGCCCTCAGCTACTACTCCTCCTTTCATGAGATCCAAAACCCCTGCCTCCATCGAGCGCAAACGGGAATCCAATCGACACAGTGCTCTGATTGTGATGGATTGGAGATAGAGGAGAGTCTCACGACATCGTCGTCGACGTTTTGGGGGTTTTCTGACTTGGGGGGATTTTTTAGAGAAACAGAGACGAACCAGTAACGAAGAACAAAGGGCGATGGAGATGATTCATCGATGATGAATGGAGCTGGTCCTTTACAATTGACAAACAATACAAACCCAGAAATCAATCCTTGGTATGCGTGAATCGATGGCAAAGGAGAAGAGCCAGGGGTGTATGCGTGAATTGATGGTGAAGGGGAAGAAGCCAAGCAAGCTCTCACCACCTTGTGCACCGTCCATAGATCTGCGCCTGTGGAAATCGCCAGTAACGCCCCTCCCCTATACCGTCGTATGATAGCTTTGTGGGAGATTGGATCGCCAGGTCGGATTGGAGTGGCGACATAGTTGTAGGAGTCTAGTGGTGGCGGAGTCAGCGGCGGATCCAGAACACAGAAGAGCAATGGGCCGAGTTTCATTAGAAAATTGAATAGTAAAAAAACATAATGATTATAGTTTTTTTCCAATGTAAATTGTACACGACGGTATTTTAATTTAGTGATGCATCAATAATGGAGCCTACATCCATACCAATAGTATACACTGTTTCAAATAAAATACTTGAGCAATCGGCAAGAAATTCATCGCTCATTTTGTTGAGCAAATCAGTTCTCACATATTTCATTGTTGAAAAGGTTCTCTTCGTAGTAGCTGTTGAAACGAGCAGCATTAACACTAGACAAATCAATTGGCATTGTGTGTCAATCCCTGCATCCACCAACTGCTCTAGTAAGTTTTCAAGGGAACAAACCTCATATTTCTTTTAATCTTTTACGTTTTAAACTTTTAGAATTTTAGGTTTCATTGTTTTTTTATATGCATAATCTTTGGGGCTAAAATTTAAAGGCTAAATTTAAAGTAGTGATTTGAATATGGTCATCTGAATCATTTTTCTAGTTATACCCAATTTTATTATAAAATCACACTAAGTCGAATGCCTAAAATCGAAAAATTCATATGGACTATACTAACTACGGATCCAGAGGAGGGCTGGGCCGGGGCCCGGGGTGGCCACCCCCTTGATCCGCCACTGGGCGGAGTGGGAGGAGTGTGGTGGTGGCGGATTTGGTCGTCGGGACGGATTGGAGTGGCGGCGAAGTGGGAGGAGTTTGGTGGTGGCGAATTGGGTCATGACTCAGGACACAAGTGACATTTTTGTCATAGTTCGGATGTTGTAGTGGTATTAGCCCATAAATTAACTATAGCAGCAAAATTGTAACTCATAATAATATATGGTTAGAGTATTAGGGTATAAGCTATATGGTTAGGGTATACCAAATATCAATTTTTAATCTTTTTTCTGAAAATCAAAATATGATTTTCACTTTAAATTAACTATAGTAGCAATTTATATTTCTCCCCAACAAGTTCACTAACATTAAGATAAATAAAAACATAAATTTTGAAAATCCCAAATGTATAATTAAAGTTCACTACACTTCTTTCCCCCCACAAGTTAAGATTTCTCCCCACTTTCCCCTCTCCAATTTAGATTTCCCTCCAAAAATTTCCCCATTTCCTCCTCCCTCAAATTTAGATTTCCTCCACCACATAAGTTTACTTATATATTTTTATGATACACTATATAATATGTGGTTGGATTAGGACTATTGGATGAAAAAATAAAAAAAGTTTACATCACCGTAACTATTAGCTAGTGTGCTTTACCGATTTACGATTAATTACATGACAAGTTTGCAAGTCATACAACATGATTCAATTTTTTTTAACTTCAATAAGTAAATATAGCACTAGTTTTTTACCCGCCCGTTGGGCGGTGTACTTTGTTTGGTTATTTTATAATTCATTTTAGTATTCTAATTGTTATTATTATATATGTTTGTTAAGGTAATATAAATGGAATTGTAAATCCGATTTACCTTATTTCAGATATTGTTTCATACCTTTATACCTTTTGTTTATTTATGAACATTTTAATTTTATTAACTGAGCTCTTTGTAGACTGTTCTTTATTGATTTATAATTTTTTTTATCTAAATCGCCATTTAAGATTATAAGCATAAGATTTGTTCATTCTTTGTAGAGTGTTATTTATTGATTTAGAATTATTTTTATCGAACTCTCCTTTTAAGATTATAAACATGAGAGTTATTAATTCTTTAGCACACAATTGTGATAAAGAAGATAAAAAATTAACAGCCATAAAAGAAGAAGTTTAATTAGTAATAAAATATGCTTCAATTAATATAAAAAATAAGCGAAGAGCTTTTTTCCCCTCTCCCTTCTCATATGTCGGTATATGATAATAGAGAATATTTCGATGTAAATCCCATGAATATCGTGTATTATCACTTACACATACAATTTTGGAATAATGCGGAAACTCATTAGCATCCACGCCCATCAATCTTCCACGTACTCGTTTAATTACCTTGAAATGTTCTAGAAAAACCAACCACAAACAAAACTATCAGCTGTCACTAACTTATTAAACCAATATTTTCAGCAAATTAAACTGCATATACTTAAACACAATTTATATTTTGTAGAGAGCTACATATCTCCTGCAGAAAAGAATTGTGATTTTTTACCTAACAACAACATAGACAAATAATGAAAGGAGCAGTCTTCAATACAACTCAACTCATTTTATCATGCAGATTCCTCATTTGTGAACTGAATATTTGCATCAATCCAAATAGTAGTTTGTATGAAAACAATCATGTCAAAATCAAGCTTTAGTTAGGGATTCAATGCGGAAAATTCACCTTAATGAAACAAACAAATGTCACCGCAAACATGTAGAAATTGAAAAAACATCGAAATAGACAACCGAGAAACCACCATTATCATTTCTTTCTTCTTCGCGACCTTTATAAAACCCCAATTATGTTCCTTTCTACTTATAACCTCTTTGCTACCTACTAATTACGAAAATACAGATCAACATTGTATTGCTAGCTAGTAGCATGTCAATCATGAACATAAAATATAATAAACAACCATCATAACTCTGCTTTCCATTTCAACATTCAATAAATCAGGTTGCAATAGGCATTCAAGAAAAACGATCAATTATTCAACCAAAAGAAGTATGCCCTAAGTCCAACCAATTAACCCTTCTAATTATATTTTATATATTTAAATAAAAGTATATGGTGACCCTTCTCCGTGAAAAATAAAAAAGAAATACATTCACTCATCGAGAGTGGGAAAATTTACCATCCAGTAGTCGTAATTTGGAAGAAATTAAGAAAAGAATGGGAAGAAGAGTATAACTCGGCCAGTCAACCGCAAACAATAACATATCGCTGAGAAAGTGAGACCAGTTACCAGCTTAAGATAAAGGAGGAAAAGGGAGCAGTCGAAAACCCTCGGCTTGGTTCACCTCATCTTCACAATGATCATATGAACTTTTTTTGTTAACAGGCAAAAATATGTTACAATTGCTCAAAATTTTGTCATCTAATCTTTGCCTCATGTAACTCCCGCCTCCTATTCTCATACAAAGAAAAATAAATCATATGCATTACCATTTCCTTCTCTATAAATTATGAGAATACAAAAATTAGAAATCTCAAAAAATTAGCAACTAATAAGAGGGCTTTGTCTATTTGTATGGTGGTTCACATACTTTCTTGATTTCTTATTTTCAAAGTTGGATTTTATTTCTAGTGAGACAATCAAAATGGGGAAAGGGACAGAAACAATTAAAAGTTTGCATTGATAATTAATATGTTTTCATTTAATCGGAATAAATAAGAAGTTTTTTTAAAAATAACAATTATTGTTTTATATTCAAATATTTTGCTATAAAATTTTTACTTGTTTTATTTTATAGGTATATACATTAGAAAGAAGTGAGTGTTTGATAGCAAAAAAATATAGTCATATCGTTAATTTCTCAAAGTCGATTGATTATCAAACACTTGTTTTCTCTTAGACCATCGTTTATATTTTTTTTAATTAAAAATTATTATTCTTTATGTGTGTGATTGTTTTTTTCCCATTAAAATGTAACTTATTATTAAATTTTAGTAAAAATGAGTAGAAAATTTACTTAATCAGATTTAATCAGCTTGGGTTAAACAAATACGATATATGTCACTATCTGTTTTCATCTTTATAGTTTGTTTAATTGAAAAAATATTATTACTTACGTATGTGTTTGTTTGTTTAAATGTTTCCTAAAAATTAACTAATTTTAATTTTAGTAAAAATGAGTAGAATTATTAAAAGAAGAGAGAGATAACTTCATAAATAGATCAATAAATAGATTTTTGTTTGTAAAATAATTATCCACCTTGGCAACTTGTGCATTCACCAAGTGCTTATGTGACAAGAAGTTATTTTTGAATAGTCATAATATTTAGTATAGATAGATATATAGATATGGATATTACATATACGATGTGGAAAGAAATAGTCTAAATATTATGATTTTTTTTGTAAATAAGTTAATAAAATGTGCAAATTGCAGTTACGAGTAGGAAGTAAGTAACTAAATGCTCTGATCCAAAAACCCGCAACCCGAACCGCCCGCAACCCGCCCGACCAGCAACCCAATTGACCCATAACCCGACTAACCCGGAATCCGATTGACCCGTAGCCCAACTGACCCGCAACCCGACTAATCCGAACCCGACAAACCCACAACCCAATGAACCTGAAACCCGACTAATCCATAACCCGATTGAACACAACCCGAACCCGCCCGATTGCCACCTCTACGTTCCATATTAATTTGTTACGAGACCTGCCATTTCAGAATCGAGATTCTACTATAACATCTACTTCTACAAAAGCATAGAAAGATGCTAGTACCTGTCCAAACAATCTGAACAGGTACTAGCATCTTTTGTGGAATTTTGACGATAGACTTATTTGAAAGAAAGGAATGAAGGATTGACAATTAAGATGTTTATGTTGTATATAGTCATACTTATGAGAAAATTAAGATATTTCGCCATGTTTTCACTTAAAGTCTCACTAATCTAATGCATTTTTCGACTTAAAGTTTAGACATATATTTAATATAGCTATGATTCGCGTAATTTTTTTTCTTGTGTACAATTTTAAAAGAATATCATATTATGGATGCATTCATTTGTAACCTTCTTAGCATATTTCAACAAATGTCGTGAAAAAAACTAGACATAAGTTGAAGTAAATCAAGTTTTATTAAAATTCAAATAATATTTATGAATTTTGATACCTTTCACCACGGTTTATTCGTTTGAATTTTTAATTTGTTATAAAATATTTTTATGATGTAGAATAATTACAAATTTTGTGTTGGGTTGGGTTTTTACATAAAAATATCGTCAACCCGACGCAATCCAATTAGAAACAAACCGTAGGGTTTAGATTTTTTTGGGTGGGTTTGGGTTTAATATTTCCCAAACCGTAGTGCATGGGTCGGGTGATTAAAATGCCTAAACCCGGACCACCCGGCCCATGTACACCCCTACTGATGGTTACTTATGGGATCCGTACCCTTTGTATAGCCAAAACTTGTTTTTTTTTTTTTTACAAAGGGATCTTTATTGCACTTTGAACAATCGGTTACAGAGAGAATAAAAACCCGACTTCAACACATGATCAAGGAAACAATGGAACGCAGGATGACATCAAACCATGCTTGGGAAAATACAACCAGGGAAGCACAACACAGATTGACATTACTAAAAAAAACCAAGTTCTTGAGATAAAGACAGCATTTATAACCCCTCTTTCTTCCAACCAAACTAAGGGCAAGAAGATCAGAACAGCTTGTCCGATCACAGCGAGATCCATGGCATTGAACTCAGCAAGCCATACGCCGTCTCCTGGGGAGTGCTCAAATTCATTCATCACAGTGAATCTCAAAAGAGATTGCATGACGGTGGAAGAGGCTGTGAAACATATTGCTCCAAGCTGTGAAGGCAGAGGGGGCCAAGGTAGAGAGGATCAGTTCAAAGGGGAGCAAGCTTCCAAGGAGATCCACAGAACGCCTCAAAAGAACAGACTTCCACCGTAGCAACCGGAGATGACTCACCTCTCCACGATCCTACAACCATCCAAGCAACAACATCACCTTGGGGAAGCCAAAGGGGGGAAGATGAGAATGGCTTCACCTTGAAGATGAGACCACCAACCTGGAAAGAACAATCATCACAAAGCAAAGATCAAGCTTCCCAAGCTTCAACCTCCAGATCCTCAAATAAGCAAGCCTTGAACCTGCAAAATCCTAGATTTGGAATGCCAAAAAGGTTGGAGAGACTTAAAACTTAAAGGTGAAACGCCTAGAAACAAAGACATGAAGATCGAAAGTAAGGCAAGCAAGAAAAGCGAAGAAAAAGAGAGACTTGAGCTGCCGTCGGTCATCTGAAGGAGCCGGCATCAGCCATGGACGACTGAAAAAAGGAGACTTTTTAGAGAGAAGGGAGAACAAATCTGAAAAGGTAAAGTTAGCCGTTTGCTTCCCATAGCCAAAACTTGTTATTACTTATTAATTTTGATAGGATTAATAACATTTTATACCCCTCTACTTTGACAAATTAACAAATGTACCCCTCCACTAATTTTTTGCACAAACGTACCACTCTAATATTAAATCGTAACAAGTTTACCCTTCCATCTAATTTTCCGTTTAGTGACCGTTAAATGGGCTGGTAAATGACCCAATTAACCCTTCTTTACCCCTAATTTCAGTTTTAATTTTAATTATTTTATTATTTATGTGAAAGAAAAAATAATTAATTAATTAGGAAAAAAAAACAAAAGTACGGATCCCCTTCCCCTGCACACCCGAGAACTTTGTCTTCCTCTCTACTCCCTCGCCTCGTTGAACCAGAGAAGTCTGGCCTCGACGCCGACAGCTTGCCATCAATGCCGGCGGCTTGCCATCGACACCGGCTGCTTGCAGCCTTCGATAGAGGCGATCGTCTTATTCCCTACGCCAAGACGCAACATCGGCTCTCGATTGAGGAGGTATCCCGCGAACTGTCTCGGAAAATTGCCATCGATGCTGGCTTCAGCAGACTTCGGCGGTGGCGAGACGCCCAGCTTTCGGATCGATCTGCGTCCTTCCGTCGGGTCTTGCCTATCGCTTCTCTCTACTCCAGCCGCCGGCGTTGAGATGCTGGGAGTAGGCGCCGCCAAGGAGTCGAGGCACTGATCGCCAAGAAGACTTCAGGGGAGACGGACAGACAGTCTGGCAAATTGCTTCAATTTAGGGGTTTGTATTTTTAATTAACTAGCTTATAACCCGGCCCGTTGGCCGGAATGTTCATATTTGATTATTTGTATTTTTATGTTATATTTAAATCTATCAACCCGTTTAATTTTATTGACAATTCTTCGATCTATATGATATATAAAGAAAGAATATATAGGTCGAACTTTTGGAGAAATAAGAATATAAAATATAAAAATGATTGATCTCATTTTTATAATGATAATTAAGCCCAAATTAAAATGCTATTGGTTAGTTGATTGTCAAGAAAGATAGAGTACAAAAGCTCATTGGAATTCCCACACACCATAGATAGTTTGAAACACAATTTTAAACCTCACAATCCTACATAAATGGTTCAATGCTCTCCTTAGGAACAATATGCCACTAATCAAAAAGAAATGGAGAGTTGTTGATTCAAGTCAACTATATACTAACAACTCAATTAAGAGGGGACCAATAAAACTTGAGAGCAAACGACAAAATTAGGGTTACCTCCAAAATGCTATTGGTTAGTTGATTGTCAAGAAAGATAGAATACAAAAGCTCATTGGAATTCTCACACACCATAGATAGTTTGAAACACAATTTTAAACCTCACAATCCTACATAAAGGGTTCAATGCTCTCCTTAGGAACAATATGCCACTAATCAAAAAGAAATGGAGAGTTGTTGATTCAAGTCAACTATATACTAACAACTCAATTAAGAGGGGACCAATAAACCTTGAGAGCAAACGACAAAATTAGGGTTACCTCCAATATGCTAATAAACTCGATCGAAGTAATAAGGCACAAAATTAGACACTCCGTATCTATCAGTTCCAGTAGATTGAATAAAGAATCGACCTAGCTTCAACAACCATAAACCTAAAGGTCCAATATTCACCACTCTCTGTTGTAGAACCAAATTTTTATCTCAAGAGACATATGTTTCAATAAAAAATTCAATCTCTAATCTTCCTTCTACAACTCCATTTATTGAACTCCATTCTATTTGTCATGGATTGTTATCGGAGTTGAAATCTTCTACTTGCCTAGCTTAAATCCCCAATAATAAAATCGTAGTGCCAAGAGATACCAAAAGATTGATTTCAAAGGCGGCCTTGTATTGAAAAGTGAAAGGGGCGTAAACTATTGCACGATAGTGGGAATTTCAGAGGAAGTTAAAAGAGATAAGAACAAAGATAAAAAAGCACTAAATTTAAATTGAAAATTTCAAGGATACAACACGCAGTAACATAATTAGTTTCTTCTATGGTAGCCAATTACCAATCTACCTTTAGCAAAAAATTAAGGCGAGAGCAAAAAATTTAAAATTGAGAAAATTACATGAAACTCTAGATACTATGAAAACTGAAGTATCAAGCACCATAAAAATATATACGGTAGACTTAGTATGCTTGGTAATCATGATGAAAAATTCATCCAATTTTCAGAGTCTAACTTTGTGTATGCTTTGTCTAAAAAAGATCAACAAATTTGTTTAGTGTAATTGGTTGTGATTGTTGTCTTTGTTTTAAAAGACCCGGGTTTGAATCCTCATATTGATATTTTTATATGAGATAAATAATTAATTGTAAAGACAAAAATATCCTTCCTACTTTCACTCTCGTTGCAGGAAATTCGAAATGGAGACAAGTTCACAAAATTCTACCATATATTATTGGAGGATTGATTTTGGATTGAATAAAATAATTAAACTAAATTAGTAGTGTTTAGGGGTAAAGAAAGGATAATTAGGTCATTTTTAGCCCATTTAAAGGCCACTTAACGGAAAATTAGATGAAAAGATAAATTTGTTACGATTTAATATTAGAGGGGTATGTTTGTGCAAAAAATTAGTAAATGGGTACGTTTGTTAATTTGTCAAAATTGAGAGTACAAAATGCTATTAACCCATTTTGATATTTCCACTTTCGTTTACAGCGACAGCGAGTCCAAAAAAAATAAATTTAAATTAACTTATAATTTTTGTTATTTTCCGCCATCCTCCCAAGAAAAAAAGCAGCCTGCAAAATTACCAGTCATTCAACTCCATTACTGCATCGCCTAGTTGGTCTACTTGCACAGTGGCCCATCTCGAAACTTGAATCCAGACAAACTGCAACCTCCTTTTTTTTTTTTTACTCTTCCATTTCTCCATCTAACCCATCTCTGTCCTCGCAGTTTCAGAGCGAAGATGGGAAGAGGAGCCAACGAAATGAGAAGAGCAACAGTTAGGGTCAAGATGGGGAGGAGATTAACGGAAATCCTCAATTCATCTTCTTCCGGCAAGTTCAGACTCATACTAGTGGCCGCTTTCGCCGTCGTATCTCTTCTCCTTGCTGCCGCCCTCCTTTCCCCGGAAAGCCCATTTTTCTACCTTCCTTTGAGAATAGCCTTATCTTCCCGGCGGCCCAGAATCTACGATCCAACCTGTGACAGCCGCCGCGACCACCACAGCTACTCCGCCACTAAATACCACAGAACCCCATCCCCTCAACCGTCTCCTTACCTCCTCGCCAAGCTCCGCGACTACGAGGATCTCCACCGCCGCTGCGGCCCCTTGTCTGACCCGACCCTAAACCCTCAAGAGTTCCGCACCGACGACTGCAAATTCGTCGTGTACGCGCCTTCGCAGGGGCTGGGGAACCGAATCCTCGGGCTTTCCTCCACTTTCCTCTACGCCCTGCTCACGAATAGGGTCCTCCTCGTCGAATTCGGACCCGACATGGAAGATCTCTTCTGCGAGCCGTTTCCGAACTCCACCTGGTACCTGCCCGAAACTTTTCCTTTCAGATTTCAGTTACAAACGTACAGATTCAGAAAAGCGTACAGCTTTGGAACCTTGCTGCAGAAGAAGGAGGAAGATCAGCAGAAGAAAGGGGGGAAATTTAGCCTCCTCGATTCTTCGGCTCCGGCCCTCTTGCAGATCTTCCTCCAAGATAAGTACAACGATTACGACAAGCTGTTCTTCAGAGACGAGAATCAAGGGTTCGTCCACCGCGTTCCATGGCTGGCTCTAGTACATGATGGGTATTTCATCCCCTGCCTTTTCCAGATGCAGTCTTTTAGGTCCGAATTGGAGAAATTGTTCCCCGACCAAGAAACCGTTTTCCACCACTTGGCGAAATACCTACTGAGCCCTTCCAACGAAGCTTGGGGGCACATCACCGGATTCTACGAAGCTTACTTAGCCAAAGCAGAGGAGCGAATTGGGTACCAGATTCGAGTCTTCGAGCCTAAGAAGACCCCATTTCCGGCCGTGATGAAACAGATCATGTCCTGCACTCAGAAACACAGAATCCTGCCGCAATCCAGCGAGGTGGCCCTCCGAAACGAGACATCAAAGTCTATCTTAGTTGCATCGTTGTCGCGCAAGTACTACGAGGAGATCGATTCGATGTACGGTGAACGAAGTCACTGCGGGATTGCAGTTTACCAGGCGAGCCACGAGGGGAAGCAGCATTTTGGGGATAACTCGCACAACATGAAGGCGTGGATGGATATATATCTGTTGAGTATGAGCGATGTGTTGGTGACGAGTAGCATGTCGACATTTGGGTATGTGGCTGCAGGGATTGCAGGGGTGAGGCCATGGATTGTGATGATTCCTGATCCGTACCATCCCCGCGGGGCTGATGAACCGTCCTGTGAACGGGCAGTCAATATCGAGCCGTGTTTCCATTTCCCGCCGTGGTTTGCTTATCCTGATCAGCCGGGGACTGTTGGGCCTGTGGCTCGGTGTGAGGATGTGTCGTGGGGGCTGAAGATCGTCGGTGGATAAAACGCAACGAGGTAGAGTTTTTTGGGGTAGGTGAGAAATGGAAAATGGATAGCTTTGCCATTTTGTTGATTACAGAGGATCTAACATGTATGAAAGATTCTCTTGTACATTGCTGGTAAAATACACATTTTCTGACCAAAGAAGCTCGAAATTATTTGAAAAACAAACAATCCAATCAATAGGGAGCACGAGAATGGGCAACCCAGTTAGCTCTTGAATTCAACTTCTTACTAAAGAGAGGGACTACGATCAGTGGATTCAAAATTCAAAATAGAAATCATGTTCCCCACATAGCCTGCCAAGGGAAAGAAGACGCTGGAGATGAAAGTCCATTGGCAAGGACTTGACAGTCTGAGCGGATAATGGAAGGAAGATCCAAATGTTGTGCAAGTTTCAAAGCTTCAAGTAACGCTATAGCTTCCACTTCAAACAGGGATGTGCAAAGCAAAGTACTAGCTTTTCCATCCTAGACTTGTCCATGATCGTCAAGAACAATAACGCCATAAGCAGCCTTCTGTGAACGTTTAAGAAAGATCCATCATAGCAAATATCGATAACGAGATTGCTCGGTGGTGGAAAAGTATGATTCTGGGGTAGGTTAAGCAGGGTGCGAAGTTGAGGAGGTGTATACCGGGGATGGGGCACGAGGGCCATTATAACATCTCCTTGGATGCATTCGTACAAGTTAGAGGGGGGCAAAGGATAGTTCCTCGAAACACTTTCTCATTCCTAGTCATCCAAATGTCAAAAGGAGGAAGATAACCTGGTGAATGGAATGAGTGGGGATGGAGTCCTTCAATTGAAAAATTCAGTGGATGAAAGACAGAAGCTTGTGGGGGTGCTCCTAGTGACGGGAAGAAATGGTTCCAAGTTGGGGTTAGGGGAGCAATGTCTGTTGAAGAGCCTCATTTTTGTTACAAGGGAATTCCTAACGCATTGCCAAATAAAGAGTCTCAATTTTGGGAGGAAGATGAAGCTTCCACAACCATTTCCATCTCTCTTTTCCCCTACATCAGTGGCAAGGAAAGTCAGATCCTGAGATCTGTTACTGTCATGGAAACCCTTGTTCGTATCCCCTAATATTATTTTGGTTTGTTGAGGTGCTGAAATTGATCTATTTGTTCGTATTTGCCTATTTGATTTTACATCTTTAGTCATCTCTCTAACTGGAGCTCAAATAGGAAAATCATTGATAAATCTTCTAACATAGCTTACCATTCATTAAACGTGTTTTGTTGTTGTTATTGTTGATGTTGTGTTGAAATTGACCTTTTTGTTCGTATTTGATTTTGCATTCTTAATTATCTCTTTCTCTCGCACTACATTTAAATGGTGAAAGTGGTATCAGAACCAACGAAACCAAATGCTAAATTACTTCATTTTTTTCTTTTTCTTATTTTCCATTTCAAATGCAGAAACTTTGTAAACTCTCTAGTTTTTTAGTTCCGAATATGTAAATTGCCCTCCGCTAATTTGTAACTTAATTGGTCAAAGAGTGCATATTACTACAAATTCTTTTTTTCGATGAATGGGCGGGATTTTTATTCGTCAAATACGATCAACAACCAAGTTTACTACCTGACAACAACAAGTTAACTACTAACCAACCAAATGAGCTAACTACACTACCATCTACCACTCAACAAAGTCCTTTAGTTACTATTCTTATACCACAATACAGAACTTGAAACAGACTCTGCAATTCTGGGGTCGCCAGCTTCCTTTGCTTCCATCACCTGCTGCATCTTCCTTGTAACTTCGATAACAATCATTTGCTTGCCTCCATAAAGCCTCCTGCACCGTTCCCTCTAGATCTCACTCAACACCAGACACCAAAGCATTCTGCCTACTAAACTCTTTTTGAACCTCTGACGTGCAGCTGTTACTGCCTGCTGCATGGTTCTTGAAACTGGGAAGGACTAGGACGATGGGAACACGACAGACCAGACTCCCTGCACATACTTACACAGAAAAAAGATATGGCTTTTTGAATCAGGTTCTTGTCACAGTGAGGGCACTTCATATCAACTTCTGGATTCCAACGTCTCACCACATGAAGAGTTGTTATTCGGTCAAGCATAATCAACCATGTGATAGCTGAATTTTTAGGAATACCACTCTGCCACACTAGTTTAGACCAGCTCACAGATTCACCCTTTGGTCTGATGCTATTCCAAATCTTGCTAATCTGGAATCTAGGCAACTTCTCATCCTCCCAAAACACCCCTTGATTTGTCTTGTACATTTTCCCTGAGAATTCTGCTCTTAACTTGAGTATTTTATTCCATACCCAAGACATGCTCACTTCCCATATACTCAGAGTCCTAAGTCGATATTCCTTGATCCAAGCAATCCAAAGTGTATCTTGCTCAGCGAGAACCCTCAGATGTGACGAGCCAGACAAGCCTTATTTCAGGAATACAGATCCTTAAACCCCATGCCACCCTCAGTTTTTGGTAAAGAAACCTATTTCCAGGAGACCATAGCTTTCTTCTTCTTTTCAAAGTCACTCCAAAGGAACTGAGAGCAAAGAGATTCTATTTGCTTAATGACTTTCTTAGGCAGGAGGATGATATTCATCCAGAACTGGGTCATGCTAGCTAGGACAGACATAATCAGTTCAAGTTTCCCTGCATAAGTTAGTAGCTTAGGTTGCCACCCCATATCCTCCATGCAATTCTGTCAACCAACAACTTGCAATCTAGTGAGGAGAGTTTTCCTGCATTCAAAGGAAGACCTAAGTATCTAACAGGCAATATGCTTTCCTAGAATCCAGATTTGTTCCCTAGCGCAGCTTTTAGATTAGCATGCACCCCTGCACAAAATATTTCACTTTTACTTGGGTTACTCCTTAAACCCGACACCAGTAGAATTTTTGAAGAATCTCTGCAACCACTGAAACTCCTTCCACAGTCCCCTTTGTGAAGGTTATTTTACTACAAATTCTGTCGCACGTCATCTTAGTGATCTTTCTTGCCTTTTTGGAATTATATCATGAGTTATATTTTATTAATTATTTCATACGATACAATTACAGTGCTATCCTTCACTTTTCGCTAAGTGCAAGCGAGTGGGCATATTTGATTTAAAAAATATATATGTGATGCATATCTAATTTATAAAAAAAAACATGACATGATGCATGGACAGCGGCGGATCCAGGGGAGGGCCACACTGGGCCCGGGCCAACCCTCTTCCTCCTGGCATAAAGATTATATCCTATAATTCCAGCCCACTCATCATTTTGGGCCAATCTTTTCTGCTTTCCAAACCCAAATCCTATACCCAAGCAACCAAAAGTCCAAAATCCAATTCCCAAAAGTCCTTCCTTTCTCTTTTAATTCGACCAAAAAATTAAAGGGAGAAGGATCAATCTTCCTCCGCTAGTACGCCCTTTTCCCCAATCCCCACCCCAGCCCTTTATGTACGTCATAGGCTCATAGCAATGTTTTTTTTTAATAGGGTTATAGGTATAATATGCCCCTCTACTATGATGTTTTATCAAATATGCTCCTCTATTCTTTTTTTATATCAAACATGCCCCTGTACTTTGAAAAAATTATCAAACATGCCCTTCTGTTAAAATTCCTTTGAAAAAATCGCCAATCATGGTTGAACCGAGATTTAGACGAACCGACATCAGCAAATGGGAACGAAAATGTCAGTTTTGTCTCCCATTTTATTTCTCTGGGTCTATTCAAAGTGAAATTATTCGAATTATTTGACTATACAAAAGAACTAAAAAAAATTCTAAAAGTGAAATTATTAGGAATATTTTAGACATTTGTGCCGCCCAAACCAAAGTTCAACATTGGTTAACGTTTTTTGGATGAAAATTTAAATAAAAGGGTATGTTTGATCATTTTTACAAAGTACATGGGCATTTTTTATACAAAAAATAGTAGAAGGGCATGTTTGATAAAATGTCATAGTAGAGGGGCATATTATACCTATAACCCTTTTTAATAACTCATTCATTTCCAATTGAAGATGGACAACTGATTGATGGAACAACTCCTTGATCGAACTTGTTGGTATTTCGTAATGTTCAACTAAAAGAACATTTCTTACAACCTATGAACTCTCTTCTGACTCTTACAACATTCCTAATGCGTACACCTCACATACGCTATACGCCTGCGTTCACACTTGTGCTATTTAATTATGCATATTTGAAGATATTTCATCATGATATCTTCTCAAACACCAAATAAAAAGACGACAACGACATTATTTTCTTACTATAATTAACATTTTAATGGAAACTATAGTTATTATATTTTTTTGTTTATAATATTTAATTTTTTATGTAAATGCGGCTCAGTGTTATATTATATCCTGGATCCGCCGCTTTACATGGATGCCAACCCTGACATAAACGAGTATAATAAACCTCCTTGTATAAAAATAGTATTTTGTGGGGTTACTAAAGACAAAAGGTAAAATAATATTTTTGTGTATCCTAGTATTTTTATATATCAATAGATTTTATCAAGAATACTGCCGAACCGTCAGGCATCTGAAGAACCCTCAAAACCTAGTAACCTACAAAGGTACGAAAGAATTCCACTACTTCTACAAACCCTAAAACGGACAAGTCAAGGGGCAATTTTAATTTTATCCAAACTAAGGCATCGTAATTCCCAATGACCGAAAGCCGAAAGGCATCACCACGACTGGAACTATCCAAACGAGGCGACCAATACTTTTTGCAGTCGGGCTAAGACACTACCAGAGCACGTTCAATCCAAGCGAACACTCAAATCCTACCAAAGCCCCATTATACGTGAGAATGTAGATTATGCTCTTAAAATTCAGAATTAATTTTAATATAGAAAAGACTAATTACTATTCATTAGTGACTTTTACACTCCTTCAACTGCAAATAGAGAAAATTCAAGCATAGACGGAGGGAGGGGCCTTTGCCCTTGTCCCAGGACAGGGGTAATTTTTTGGATGGGAAAAAATAACTCACGTATGTTTGAACTGAGGATCAAACTCAACACCTACAAGTAACATAAGTATATTTTGACACTACACTACACTATTTGTTTATTTATTTATTTATTTATTTATTTATTTCATGACACTATTATTCGACAACATCTTGTTGGATATCATCATTATGTTATGGTTGATGAGACATTTGGTGGATTGAAAGAAATTGTTAAAATAACCTCGGATTATGGTGGAGACAAAAGTGCATAAGTTATATCAGTCAGGTTATTTATTTCTAAAACTAGTTTTGATTCTACCAGTTGCAACTGTAAAGGTAGAAAGAGCATTTAGATTAAGCTATATTAAAAAAGTTTCAAAGTTGAATTGACGATAAGTTTATTAAAGATTATTTAATGGAATACATTGAAAGAGGCTCACTTAAGATGGTAAACAATGAATGTATTTTGTATTTCTTTGATAATATGAAAATTCATCGTGTTATTTATGCAAACAATAATTGTATCATTCGGTTATTTATTTATTTATGAATGAATTATTTGGATATTATTAATTTTAATTTTATTTATTAAATATTTATATTATTAAAAGAGGACAGGGGTAGTTTCGGATCCTGCCTCCGCCACTGAATCCAAGTTCTTCTTTTACCCCACTCTCCATTTTATAACTTTTGTGTTTAGTTATTGTTTTCTAAATTTTCGTCCATCAATATATAAAAGTCTAACATGGGAGTTACTATTCATTAGTGGCTCTCACACTCCTTTAGGTGCAAGTGGGGAAGTTCCAAGTCCTTCTTTTACCCCACTCTCCATTCTACAACCTTTGTGTTAGTTAGTGTTCACTAGGTTTTTGTCTATGACTTTTTGCGCAAATCATCGCTTTTGTGTTTTTATTATTGTTCGCTAGATTTTCGTTTGTGCCTTTTTGCACAAATCATTGCCTTTACCTACCATTTTGCAGCCCACCACGAAATACTTTCGGCGGAATCCTAAGTTGTTCGCCACTACCATTTCCCAATGCCGCTACCGCGAGTTTTGTATCGGGGCCGATTTTAACCCTCTTTAGTGTTTTTTCTTTATTTTTTTCCTTTTTGCTGAGTAACCCAAACACATGGGTATCCTACCTTGAACATAAATCATCGCCTTTGCCCACCATTTTGCAGCCCATCTCGAAATAATGTCAGTGGAATCCTAAGTTATTCTCCACCACTGTTTCCCAAGGCCGCTACCACGAGTTTTGTATCTGGACCGAGTTTCGTCCTATTTAGTGTTTTTTTCTTGCTTTTTTCCCTTTTTGTTGAGCGTGATCACAATTGAACCCAAACACATGGGTATCCTAACTTGAATACAAATCATCGCTTTTGCGTTTAGTTATTGTTCGCTAGGTTTTCATCTATGGCTTTTTGCACAAATCATCGCTTTTGCCCACCATTTTGCAGCCAATGGAAGTTACTATTCATTAATGGCTCTCACTCTTAGGGATGGCAACAAAAATCGAACCCACGGGTACCCTACCCGACCCAACCCGGTCAATGCGGGTAAAACCCGCGTTGACGAGTTTGGATTAAACTCGTACACTATTAACTGAGTTAGGTTGGGTTTGGCTTTAGGGGTACCAGACCCATGGATACCCGCTCATACTTATTTCGTCGCCCTAATCTCCCCAAACTCTACCCTAATTCTAATTTCCTTCAATGTAACTCTCACTACACTTATTCCTTGTGATTTTATTTAGTTTAATTGTGATATGTTTGAATTTTCTAGAATGATGTTTTATGTATGGATAATTTGTATGGGGAAATTGATGTTTGAATTTTATTTTGATAGGAATTTGTTATTGTAAATTTTTTACCACAAAAACCCATGGATACCCATGAACATTCAGATACCTAGCGGGTTGGTTGGGTTTGAGTTTTCCAAACCCAGTAGGTTTTACCCCAGGTTTATTTGATGGATAAACCCATGGGTTTGGATTTGGGTTTGGTAAAAATCCAACCCAACCCGACCCATTGCCATCCTTACTCACACTCCTCCAAGTGCAAGTGGGGAAGTTCCAAGTCCTTCTTTTACCCCCTCTCCATTCTACAACCTTTGTGTTTAGTTATTGTTCACTAGGTTTTTGTCTATGGCTTTTTGCATAAATCATTGCCTTTGTGTTTTGTTATTGTTGGTAGGTTTTCGTCTGTGGATTTTTGCACAAATAGGCTCCTTTTTGTTTAGTTATTGTTCGCTAGGTTTTTGCCTATCGCTTTTTGCACAAATCATCTCCTTTGCCTAATATTTTGTAGCCCATCTCGAAATACGGTCGATGGGATCCTAAGTTGTTCTCCACTACCATTTCTCAATGACGTTACCAAGATTTTTGTATCGGGACCGAGTTTCATCCTCTTTAGTGTTTTTTTTGTTTCTTTCTTTTTTCTCCTTTTTGTTGAGTAACCCAAACACATGGGTATCCTACCTTGAACATAAATCATCACCTTTGCCCACCATTTTGCAACTCATCTCTAAATACTGTCTGCGGAATCCTAAGTTGTTCCCCACCACTGTTTCCCAAGGTCTCTACCACGAGTTTTATATCTAGACCGAGTTTCATCCTATTGAGTGTTTTTTTCTTTCTTTCTTTTTCCCTTTTTGTTGAGAATGATCATAATTGAATCCAAACACATGTGTATTCTAACTTGAACACAAATCATCGTTTTTGCTCGTCATTTTGCAGCCCATCCTGAAATACTGTCGGCGGAATCCTAAGTTTATCCCCACCATCGTTTTCCAAGGTCGCTACCACGATTGTATCGGGACCGAGTTTCATCCTCTTTAGTGTTTTTTCTTTCTCTTTTTCCTTTTTGTTGAGCCTGATCACAATCGAACCCAATGGCCCTACCAAAAATCCATACCATATCTAATCCAAGTTTCATTCGCTTTAGTTTTTTTTTTCATTCACTTTTTCCTTTTTGTTGAGCATGATCACAATTGAACCCCAAGATATGGGTATCCAACCTGATTCAATATGGTCAAAGCGATTTGAAACAGACTTTAGAAATTATAAATTTCTCTTTTTTTCTTCTTATGCTTGGGAAGACAATTGAATCTGAATCTAAGGTTTTGACGAGTGTTGTATTGTGAGCAAGCTTTATCCGCTTTTGTAGTTGACAAGTTGGACCAAGTGTTAATTTGTTAAAAAATTGTTCAAAGTGATTTGAACACATTGTTTACCACTTTTAGATCGAAAGCGAGTTTTGTACCCTTCAATGTTTTTTATTTCTCAATTTTCTTTTCGTCGAGAATGACCATTGAACTCTAACCCATTGTTGACGCATTTCGTATCGAGAGAGAATTTTATATGCTTTTATAATTGTCAGGCTGGGTAAATTGTGAATTTGTTAAAATTGGGTCGACTTGATCAAAGCAAGTTGAACGTAGTATTGAGAGTTTGGGATCATGAGTGAATTTTATCCGCTTTAGTATTTTTTTATATTTTTACTTTTGGTTGAGAATGAAAATTGAGTCCAAACACATGGGTATATAACCTAATTCGACCCGACCAAAGCGACTTGAACCCGATTTTATAGGTTTTCGGCGGGAGCGAGTTTTAATAGTTTTCGTAATTGGCGTGTTGTGTCAGGTGTGAATTTGTCCAAAACTCGGTCCAATCAGGTCAAAGTGAGCTGAACTTGGTATCTACAAGTTTTGAGTCGATAGCGAGTTTTAGCTTTAGTGTTTTTCATTTCGCTTTTTTCCTTTTGTTTGAGAAAGACAATTGAACTCAAATCCATGGGTACCCAACCTAATTTGACTCGATCAATGCGAGTTGAACCTACTCAAACCTTCAATCAGTCCAAAAATTTCATAAAGGAGAACCATGATTACCTCAAACCCGAAAAAAGGCAAAAAGAGTACGACTATGTTTGGCCCGAATTTTAGAAGTTTTATATTTCAAAAGTTGAAGCGGAAGCTCTGATTTGAAAATACAAAATCGTCCTTGCCATATATTATTCTTTTTTCTAGAAAATATATATTTCTTTCATTTATATCATTATAAAAAAATAAAGGTTTAATTCACCTGCATATCCATAACTTTCACAATTTTGACAATTATAGCCACTTTTTGAAAAATACACAGATATAGCCAATTCCGTTCAATTCTTTGACGGTCCACTTAACCCACTGACTGGACTAACGATAGTAGTTAGTGTGACTTGTTTTATTTAACGTCATTGCCAGGTTGAAAACATCCATATTTTTTTATTTAATTAATAAATTAAATAATAAGACAAACAGAGCAAAATGCCACTTTACCTTTTTTACCCACCTCATGTTCTCTCCTTCTTCCGTCGAACCCTCCACCTTCAGCCGACCACCCATCCATCTTCTTCCTCTTCTTCTTCTCCGCCATTGGAAGGGCACTCGACCACTGCAGGTGCAAAAGCCCTATTTTCGAGGCTAGTCGCCTCCTTTCTCCATCGAACAACTCCTCTTTATCTCTCCAAATGGATAGCAAGAATAAAAAATTTCAGATTCCAAAATCACTAACCGCGTATCCCAAATCCAATCAATGCTACTTGCTTGCCCCGCTCACTCTTCCGACGAGGAGTTTCAACTTCTTCCCTCGACCTCCACTGTCTCCGCGGCTCCATGGCAGCGATCCTCTCCACCCTCCAACACTCCTCCTCCCCAGAAAATATCCACTTCCACTTCATCTTCACCCTGCCTTCCCTCCACAAAACCATCCTCCGCTCCGTCCCTTACCTACGTTGCCAGCTCCACATCTTCGCTCCTTCCCCAATCCAGGGCCTAATCTTTACCTCAATCGGACATGCACTCGATTCCTCTCTCAACTACGCCCGCAATCACCTCCTGACGCTGCTCCCCAACTGCTTAACAAATGTCCTCTACCTCGACTCCGACCTCATTCTTGTCGACGACTGATAACGATGTATTTGCACATGTTTGCACCCTTAGTTCTTATCCGTTTGCGGCTCGTAGTCGTGTATTTTTGGTCCATTTTACGCTGGGTTGTGCTACTTTGTCATATTTCAGGTCCCAGACGTCGAAGGAAAGGCTAAGCACGAGATTCGAGGCGTTTGGAGGTCATTCGGTCGAGCTGGGAGCAAAACACGGGCAGGAGGCCTGAAGAACACGACCGTGTACACAAACGAGCAAGCCACTTGGGTATGAAGAACCCTAGTTCCATGTGTTAGGAATCTTGATTGTAATTACGTTTGGATTGTGATATTGCTTGATTATAATCGGTTGAAGTGTTTTGATTGAGTCAATTGAAGTCTTATCATCTTTTATTGATTTCTGCTGCAACCTGAGATAGATAGAATCTGATTAGGTTGTTAGAGCTTCTTCAATCGGTAGTAGTGAATCGATTATACGAGAGTTAGTCGATTCACTGCTTTGTACTGGAATCTAATTCCAGTAGTGGAGTTCTGTGTTCATTGCCTCAGCGTTCTATCCCGGTGAAGACTAGTCGTCTGCTGGGAGTTTGACTGAGAGGGCTTGGTCAGCTTAAGAGATTCCAAGCTACTGTCGAATATTCCGCAGTATAATTAGCAGTAAGGCAACCAAAAGTAATTACAACTGTGACCTAACTAAGGAGCTAGGGGGACTCATTCCCGAGTGACTCTTCCCTTGCTTTAGAAAACCGAATCATTTCCTGCTTTCTTACTGCTTTTAATTAAAATCACAAACACTCAACTTAGTTTGCTAGATAACATTTCCCATTCAACACCCTCATGTACCAGCGAATAACTTTGAGGTGAGCACCTTTGTCATCACCATGCTGCACGGTTTGGTGGTATTCCGTGGCAAGGAGGGGGAGTGCCCCCGATCACACCTAAGGCGGTTCCACGAGCTCATCGATGGGATCAAGATCAATGGGGTCCCAGCCGATGCTATCCAGCTGAGGTACTTTCCATTTACTCTGGAGGGGCAAGCCAAGGAGTGGCTAGACACTCGACCTCCAGACTCGATCACCACGTTCGCCAACTTGGTGGACAAGTTCCTCACTCGCTACCATCCTCCGTCCAAGACGGCGGACCTGCAGAAGCAAATTACCCACTTTGCTCAAGACGAAGATGAGACCATTCGGGATGCTTGGGAGAGATACAACATTCTCTTTCTCAAGTGTCCCAACCATGGTTTTACTGACGCCTTCAAGGTGGGCACCTTCTACCATGCCCTTTCCTGAAGGACAAGCAGCAGATTGACTCGGTCTGTGGCAGGAATATGCTCACCAAAACACCGCCACAGCTGAATCAACTTTTAGAGGAGATGACAGAGCAGGGCTGTGATTTGGGAACTGCGAGGAGATCGAGACGAGCACCAGGGGGTGTGCATGCTGTAGCCACCCAGTAATCTGATTTGGTGCAGGTGGTATCGAAACTGGTTTCAGCCATCGATCGTTCTGGGATGATTTCAGGTACAAGACAGCAGCAGGCGATGCATTTCCAGTGGTGTGAGAGCTCCCATCACACTGTGGAGGATTGTCAGGCGATGAGGGAGTCGTCTACTCCCCAGGAGCAGGTGGACTTCATCGGCAATGCAGTCGCTTCGACCCCTACAACAACACTTACAATGAGGGGTGGCGCCAGCATCCCAACTTCTCCTGGGTTGGGGAAAATTCTAGACCACCAGTCTCCCAGGGACCACATGGCTTCCAGAGGCCTCCTTACCCGCCCAGGCAAGGGAAATTTCAGCAGCCGCAGCAGCCTCTCTACCCGCCCAGAAAGGGGCCAATTCCACCTAAGTCACAGGTGCGGCCATTTCATAAGACAGGGGAAGCACCCGCAACCCCAGTACAGAGTGACCCGATGGCGGAATTGCGAGATCTGGTTGGTTCTCTGGCCACCTCCAGTGCAAACAAGTTCAATAATATCGAGCAGTTCATGGAGAAAGCTTTGGGTAAATTCTTGGAGCTAGAAGCTGGCCAGAGAAACACGCAGGCTGTGCTGCGGGACATCTAGACCTAGCTTGGGAGTGTGGCCTAGGCTGTAGCTCAGAGGAATCCTGGTACTCTACCCGGTCAGACCATCCCTCATCCACAGGACCCAAATGAGCACTTCAAGGCCATCACTACCAGGAGTGGCAAGATGACTGCTGATCCACCTGTTCGGGCACAAAAGAGAGAGACCCCTGCTTCAGCACTTCCAGCTAATGAAGAGGAAATGGAGAAGGAGGTTGAGGTTCCTGTTCCTAAACCGCAACCAGTGATGAAGGAGTATGTACCACAACTTCCCTTTCCTACTCGGTTGCACAAAGACCGACTGGAGACTGAGTTTGCCAAGTTCATGGCAATGCTGACGCATGTAAACATAAGCATGCCCTTCGTGGAGGCATTATCGAAGATCCCCAGGTATCTCAAGTTCATGAAAGATCTCCTCACCAACAAGAGGAAGCTTGGGGAGCTGTCAACGGTGATGCTCAACGAGGAGTGTTCTGCCATCCTGCAGAACAAGCCACCAGAGAAGCGAAAAGACCCAGGGAGTTTTACTATCCCTTGCATGATTGGTAGTTTGCATATAGGGAAGTCCTTGGAGGATTTAGGCGCTAGCATAAATGTCATGCCATATAAACTGTTTAAAAAGCTAGGCCTAGGTGAACCCGGTGATACTAGAATGAGCATTCAACTTGCTGATAGATCCATTGTGCATCCTAGGGGCATTGCAGAGGAATTGATACTCGTAGTAGGGTCATTCTCATATCCTGTTGATTTTGTGATTTTGGACATAAATGAGGATGTGGATGTGCCTTTAATATTGGGTAGACCTTTTCTCGCCACCGCCAAGGCGCTCATTGATGTGAATGATGGGAAATTGATTTTGCCAGCTGGGGGTGAACAAATTACCTTCTCTGTTTCTGATAATATGAAACACATTTTACCAAAAAAAAATATGAAACACTCCCAGCTCCATGATGATCTAGACTACTGTGATGTTGTTGCTGATTTTGAGACCGCACTCGCCATCACGAGTGCGGGTACTGACGATTTCCTCGAGCGTTGTCTGTTGCTAGGGGAACATGCATCACAGGATGTGCAGCTGGAGGAGCAGCTCGCGGAGCTAGACGAGGCCACGATCGAGGGGCGAGAGATACCATTCAAGCCGATCCCTATCTCGCCCCGGATCGCTACATCATTGGAGGAGCCACCAGAGCTGGAGCTTAAACCCCTCCCCTCTCACCTAGAGTATGCATTTCTCCAGGAGGGGAATAAGCTCCCAATCATTATCAGCTCGGATCTGACACCCAAGCAGAAGAGCAGGCTGGTGGCTCTGCTGCAGAAGTATGCCCGGGCCATGGCATGGAAGATCACAGATATCAGAGGCATTAGCCCATCCTTCTGATCCCACAGAATTTTGATGGAGGATGAGGTTAAGCCAGTCAGGCAGCCACAACAGAGATTGTCTCCCAACTTGGAGGCAGTGGTCCGGGCATAGATTGTGAAGCTAATGGATGCAGGGATCATCTTTGCTATATCTGATAGCAAGTGGGTCAGCCCCACTCAGGTGGTCCCGAAGAAAGGCGGGATGACTGTGGTCCTGAATGAGAAGAAAAAGCTGATCCCGATGCGGATCAAGACCGGCTGGAGAGTCTGCATCGATTACCGGCGCCTGAACGATGCCACCAGGAAAGACCATTTTCCCCTTCCCTTCATTGATCAGATGCTGGAGAGGTTGGCTGGCCATGAGTTTTATTGCTTCTTGGATGGCATGTCTGGTTATTTCCAGATTCCTATCGCACCAGAGGATCAGGCGAAGACCACATTCACTTGCCCAAAGGTACTTTTGCTTACCGGAGGATTCCATTCGGGCTGTGTAATGCACCGGCGGCCTTCCAGAGATGCATGTTGGCGATCTTCGACCGACTGGTCAGAAAGATCATGGAAGTCTTCATGGACGACTTCTCGGTTTATGGAGACTCCTTCACTCATTGTCTCCATAACCTGGAACTCGTTCTGAAGAGGTGCGAGGAGACTAATCTAGCACTCAGCTAGGAGAAGTGCCATTTTATGGTCCGTGAGGGGATTGTGCTCGAGCACAAGATTTCCAAGCAGGGGATTGAGGTGGATCGCGCGAAGATTGAGACGATCAGTTAGCTACCTCCTCCCATTTCTGTGAAGTGGATTCGCAGCTTCCTGGGTCATGCAGGCTTCTACCGACGCTTCATCAAAGATTTCTCGAAGATTTCCCTGCCTCTGACCAAGCTGCTGGAGAAGGATGCACCATTCCAGTTTACTCCTGAGTGCACAGCGGCATTCGAGACGTTGAAGGAGAAGCTTACCCATGCGATGCGAGTGACTATGCAGTCGGAGCCGTTCTGGATCAGAGACGCGGGAAGCACTTCCAGCCCATCTACTACGCGTCGAAGACCTTGAACGACGCACATGAGAATTACACCACCACTGAGAAAGAGCTCCTCGCTGTGGTGTATGCATTCGATAAGTTCCAACCATATCTGGTGCTCTCCCATGTGGTGGTCTACACAGATCACTCGGCGATTCGCTACCTGATGAGCAAGGCTGATGCAAAGCCTAGGCTCATCCGCTGGATCCTGCTTCTGCAGGAATTTGATATAGAGATCCGGGACAAGAAGGGAGCCGAGAATGTTGCTGCAGATCATCTTTTACGGTTGGAAGCCCCTCCGGTGGACAACTTTGTGGAGGAGATCGATGACTCTTTCCCGGGTAAGCGATTGCTGGCGACGACATTGGTGGATAGCGTGGACCCTTGGTATTCTGACTTTGCCAATTATCTGGTGGGCAAACAGTTACAAAAGGGGATGGCCACTCATGCAAAGCGCAAGTTCTTCTCCGACCTAAAGCATTACTTCTGGGAGGATCCTTACCTCTTCAGGATCGGAGCAGATGGCATGACCCGGCGCTGTGTCATGGAGCACGAGATGGGAGACATCCTGTCTCAATGCCA